GTGCGGACTCACAAGTGGTCCTACCACCAGACTACCACCAAGTGCTTCCCTTACTAGATCTGACCATCTGGTTTACGGTGTGGTAAAAGTACTAGGAAACCTAATTCTGAATTAATTAGAATCAGGGGAAAGCAGTAGTGTTTAGCATCTTTTGACAAAGGTAAGATCTTCCACCGAGCGAGTGAAATTGTTCACTAGACCGTCGGTTAGAATGTTATTGTTCGGAACTTGTATATGTGCAAACATATCTTGAAAATGTCGTTAGTGCGATTCAGGCATCTGTCAAATGTGTTCAGTTTTATCATAACTGCCCACTACTACATTCTATTGTATAGCATCTGGATTCCCCGTCTAAGAGTTAAAAGAAACATAGATACAGTAGAAACTCGATTAACCGGACTAATTATTGTCGTTAGGCATTCGGATAATAGAATGTATGAAAAATTGCGGGTTTTATGCTTATGTAGTACATAATGTTACATATGTGTTAATTAATTAAACAAATACATACATATTAACGAAAATTAATGTCTATTAACATCCTACATATTTATTTGGAATTCACAATTTGACTATACTTGGTATTATATGCATTTTCCGGTAACGAGAAAAATATCTGTCTTGGGTGCGTTGAATGTGGAATTTATAATTTACTGTCTCCTGCAAGATGGCGGCGTTCACGTTGTGCAGTCAATGTGACTCTACACTTCAATGGAGATTGTCCCCAAGCTTGTTTACTCAACGAATAAAAACACAAACATTGCGATCACTTTTACTGGTGGTGGGACCTCTTGTGAGTCCGCGTGGGTAGGTACCACCACCCGCCTATTTCTGCCGTGAAGCAGTAATGCGTTTCGGTTTGAAGGGTGGGGCAGCCGTTGTAACTATACTGAGATCTTAGAACTTATATCTCAAGGTGGGTGGCGCATTTACGTTGTAGATGTCCATGGGCTCCAGTAACCACTTAACAACCAGGTGGGCTGTGAGCTCGTCCACATACCTAAGCAAAAAAAAAAGTGTGTGTGTCCGCTCCGACGCACGACTGGAGTTTACTGGATATAAAAAATTAAACGAAACAATACGAGAAATAGTTCTATATTACGACAACACGATACACTACAGATTATTAACAAATTAACGAGACACAAAACAAACGACTAACAAATATATGAAAATACAATAATGAGAGAAACNTTTGAAAATCAAACCGTTGTGCCAGACTTTGTCGAACGCTTTTGCGACGTCGAAGAAGAGAGCTCCCGTGTATAACGGTTTTGGTCGATTAAGCCCCACAAGAATGTGCTCCGTGAGGCGGTGCACCTGTTGAACGCATGAGTGATTTGTACGGAATCCGAATTGTTCATCGATGAGAATACCCTTGGATGAGACGAAGTCTCTGAGGCGATTGTAGAGCAGACGCTCATACAGTTTGCCTAGAGACATGAGGAGGCTGATCGGGCGGTAATTATTGTATTGCCAACGAGTCTGTTACGAGAACTATTTCTAATGTTTACCCGTGGCGGTTCACAATAATTAATAAATAAAAGAACAAAATATGCATTTATGTACGCGCGTATGAAGTTGTGCTTTTTTGGCGTAATTTAAAATGTTTATTTATGTTGTGGACTGTAGAACTAGGTTGGGCAATGAACTTTACTGAAATAAACCCTCGAGGATTGCACGTATAAATTTATATTTTGTAAATTTTATAACTCGCGTACAATAGCATGGACAGAGACAAAAACCAATCCAAGATATTTCAAAATTCAAAATCAATGTTGCTACCACAACCACAACAATAAAAAGATTTTATAACAATTTGTGGGGTTGCCAACAATTTACTCTTACTTCTAAAACAAGATGGTTTTCCAAACGTATCACGCGAGATATAACTTCAAAAGTAATGTCTCTGAATGTAAAATCTACTTGATTGTACCTGTAGATAATTTGACCCAGAAACTAAGCTAACAATATGATTATGTAATGTGGCACTTAAGATGTCTAGACTGACCAACATTTAAAATGAGTCTAGGATTTGTCTGATAAACTAGATGGCAGTGTTACTGAGGGTTGGTGTGGATTAAATAATGCACGAGACAGATATATGTAGTGGATAGTATTCAATATTAAGTAGGATTGTAAAAGTTTTACGTTTGATGTTTGAGGTAATTTCTTTGTCATCTCTGTTGTGAATGAGACGGGCCGCGGTTCTACGCCGAGTGAACAGTGTATAGCTCGTGTTTTTTTTTTATTTCTGTATGAAATAACCTCTCATCTGGTATATATGGTAATTTTAAAGTCGTTATGATGACACGAAAAACTTTGCGGAAGCCGTTTAACGCGATACCGATTTTGTACCGCATGTTCCATGGGGAGTGCTCTGAGGAATTATTTGAGATGATTCCATCATCTCGTTTTTACACTACGTTCATCCACAGTGCGTTTCCAGAGATCTTTTTTTCCACGTACCATCCGGCTATGGAATGAGACCCCCCCCCGCGGTGTTTCCCGAGCGCTATGACTCGTCCTTCTTCAAACGAGGCTCATGGAGAGTAGTCAACGGTAGGTGGCGGCTTGGCTCTGCCCCTGGCATTGCAGAAGTCCATAGGCGACGGTAACCACTCACCATTTAGTGGGCCGTATACTCGTCTGCCTACAAGGGCAATAAAAAAAAAGTTATGAGGATACGATTAGCCGAGATTATGACTATATAAAAAAATATGAAAAATAACGCATTAGCGAGAAACACAACAAAAAAGAACGATCTACAGGGCTTTACTTCTATATTGTTCCTTCACTGCTGAGAATCGCGACCACATGTGATGTTCCTCCACCGTGTTCGATCATTAGTGACATGTACCGGTACGGCATACTTTTTTTTTTATTGCCTAGATGTGTGGACGAGCTCACAGCCCACCCGGTGTTAAGTGGTTACTGGAACCCATAGACATCTACAACGTAAATGCGCCACACACCTTGAGATAGAAATTCTAAGGTCTCAGTATAGTTAGAACGGCTGCCTCACCCTTCAAACCGAAACGCATTACTGCTTCACGGCAGAAATAGGCGGGGCGGTGGTACCTACCCTATTTCTGCCGTGAAGCAGTAATGCGTTTCGGTTTGAAGGGTGGGGCAGCCGTTGTAACTATACTGAGATCTTAGAACTTATATCTCAAGGTGGGTAGCGCATTTACGTTGTAGATGTCCATGGGCTCCAGTAACCACTTAACAACCAGGTGGGCTGTGAGCTCGTCCACATACCTAAGCAAAAAAAAAACTCAAAAAAAACTCATTTTCAGAACTATAATTATCTTCACAACGCATTTAAGATATATTTTCGATTACAAATAAATATTAGCATAACTCACGTTGCATTTTACATCAGGTGGGCCGTTTATTGAGATATGGAATAAATCAAAAGGAACTAAGAGTGGGAAATGAAATTAAAATTTTAACTAATAAATTAAAATGAGACTATTAATGCGAAATTCTCGTCTAAATGGCAAAAACAAGCAACAAAAAACATCTAAATGATTGCTTATGAATGATGAATCAATACTTCGTATCCCCTTATTGGATCAAAAGATTAATCATTCGATTTCTTGCTGCACTCCTCTGAGAGGGATTTTCTTCAAAAGAAAATCAACATTTTTACGGCGGCTTCACTCCCGTTCCTCAAACTTTATACTACTCCATTTAATCATTTTGAACGTCATACATTGCGGGCTTTATATGAAATTTTAATTTAATCTTTGGTGGTAAAACAGTATTGAATGTCTCTGTTAGCGATAGACTTGAACATGCTTCGTTCATTGTGGGAGGTAACGCTGAACGTTACAAAGTGTGAGCCTTTTGTCTATGTTAAGGATCGGTTCCAATACTAAGATTATACGAGATTGAATAATTTCTTTTTTGAAAAATTATTAGATCAATCAGACCCATTTGTCCCTTTATAAAGAGTGACTTCTTTCAGTAAATTGTAAGTAAATTTAAATGCTATATTCAGTGCAACATTGCTGTATTAGCATTCTATCGTAGAATGCATGGTATGCGTGTTTTCTGTTGTTAGAGTGAACAAGTCAGTAAAGTTGTGTGTGTGTTCAATATTTGTACAAAATGTTATTGATTCGAACGAAAGTTGTGTAATTAATTTTTTCGTGTGACAAAATCGTATACAGAAAATTAAATTTGAAAAATAAGTATGATTTTTTGGATAAATAAGTAACTGTAATGCGCTTACAAAGAACTTATATAAGAAAATATTTTGTAATGTATCAACAATGTAATCAAACATACCCAATTTTATTATTTTTTTAGTCCTCGCTCGTCTATTTCTAATTCATTTGGTAATTATTGTTAGCAGAGTAGTAGTAGTCTGCACGAGTAGTTACCCTCATTCGTCCTACCTGTATCGCGGCGCAGTCCAGTTTAAATGCTACAGAGATACAATTATACAATTGTAATTGTGACTTTCAGCTATTGTTACAAAGTGACTGACGACTTTTCACGTTGTGATATTTCTTGACTGTGCTGTTTGAGTCTTTGTTGACCATGAGCTTTTCTGCTTCATAATCATTAATTAGATGTGACTAACGCTTGTCCTCCATTTTAGAGTGCATTTATATCCATTAGTGTGATTTAACACGCTCTCGCTCTGATTTTTTACTGGTGGTAGGACCTCTTGTGAGTCCGCGCGGGTAGGTACCACCACCCTGCCTGTTTCTGCTGTGAAGCAGTAATGCGTTTCGGTTTGAAGGGCAGCCGTTGTAACTTATACTTGAGATCTTAGAACTTATATCTCAAGGTGGGTGGCGCATTTACGTTGTAGATGTCTACGGGCTCCAGTAACCACTCAACAACCAGGTGGGCTGTGAGCTCATCCACCCACCTCACCAATAAAAAAAAAACTCTAAAAACGTAACGCATCAGTGCAACCGGTCTTTAAGCTTAGGGCGGTCGGCGCGCGCAGCCGTCCGCCATTTCTCTCTGCAGTCGGGCAAAGCGCGCTTCAGTCGCGCCGTGCACCCAACGTAAGTCAATTACATAACCGAAACACTTAATTAAAACTCTAAGCAAACTTGAAACCAAACTGTTACCAGCATTCGATTGTGATGTGTTAGTGAGTGTTACGTGTTGGCAGTGAAAAAAAACTAATGTTCGATGGCTTCCAATGTACGTATGTTTTATGTATTCGCGTACCCACGCTACGGTACGCCGTAGTACACCGTAGCTACACACATTTATGTATAAGTTTGTGTAGAGTTGTGTATGTTCGATTTTGTGTATTGTTTGACGGCCATACATTTTTGTTATGCTTATCGATTATTTTGTTGTTGTTGGATTGAATTTGGATGCATAATTAATTGGTTTCGATGTCATTATTTATGTAAAGCACCAAGTTATGTAGCGTGGTGCAACTGGAGTAATATTTGCTTTAAAAGCTACGATTGTTTTTGAAATCCGAAAGAGCGTATATTAAAAGCACTGGGTTGTCAATAAATGTGCTTCCATCTACATAAATTATTCCTTATTTTTCAGCTAGAAAGTTATGCTAATTTTAAATTTATCACGACCATTAAAACACAACAAATTTTGAAAATCTGTTCAGTAGTTTTTCGTCATTCTTGCACACGCAAAGAAACAAAAGGATAATTACCAAAATATTATATCATTTTATTTTATTGTATGTTCAATAAACAGGTACATTATTGCCTAATTTTGAGATAGTTTACAATAAATAGACATATGTTTTAGAGCAATTCCTGTGTTAATTGAATAAAATAAAAACTTGAAAATAAATGCGAGACTGAATCGTAGANAGTTTTTCGTCATTCTTGCACACGCAAAGAAACAAAAGGATAATTACCAAAATATTATATCATTTTATTTTATTGTATGTTCAATAAACAGGTACATTATTGCCTAATTTTGAGATAGTTTACAATAAATAGACATATGTTTTAGAGCAATTCCTGTGTTAATTGAATAAAATAAAAACTTGAAAATAAATGCGAGACTGAATCGTAGAAATGTTCTGATATTTTTAACATTTTGTTCGATACGTATAATAAAATAGTAGAATCCTTTGCATAGGCAGAAATTTAAGAAAAGTACTAAATAATAGGTTAATAGAATATAAACCATCTATTTTCAGAATTATTTCCTGTCTGTTTGTATGTTCGCGCTTATATTCGATGTCAATAAACAGATTTTCATGTAATTTTTACAGATAACAGACAGAGAGTAATCTAAAGCAGAAACAAGACTTATTTCATTAAAATCGGAACATGGGATAAAGTTAACTTCACTAGGCACTTAAAATATATTTTTTTTACTTTTGTGCGTTTGGAATTTTGAATTTTTTTTTCTTGATCTATTGAATAAGCTCTTGGCCCATCTATTAATAAATGGCTACCAGAGCTCATAGACATTAAAACGTCTATACTGTCAATACTGTCTCCTAAATTGAAATTTCAGGTCAAAATCTCAATAGTCTATGTAAACGTGCCCTCTTACAAGACACCGTAGAAGCCTTACTAGTGCATAATATATTATTTGCGGGTTTGATTTTTATTAGACGATATTATTCCATAATCGTGGAAGTCATCACTAGTGGTAGGACCTCTTGTGAGTCCGCATGGGTAGGTACCACTACTCTGCCTATTTCTATTGTGAAGCAGTAATGCGTTTCGGTTTGAAGGGTGGGGCAGCCGTTGTAATTAAACTGAGACTCTAGAACTTAGATTTGAAGGTGGGTGGCGGCATTTCCGTTGTAGATGTCTATGGGCTCCGGTAACCGCTTTACACCAGGTGGATCGTGAGTTCGTCCACCCACTTAAGCAATAAAAAAAAAGTTCTACATAAATATGTGTTAAGTAAGTATTTCATTAGAAAAATTGGTACCCGTCTGCGGGATTCGAACACAGGCTCAGTTGCAGCGCTCGATAGGTGTAGACCGGGCGTCTTATCTTTTAGGCCACGACGACTTTAAAAGTTACACGGCAAAAACTATTAGTAGTGCTCTCAGGAATTGTTTGAGATGATCCCATCATCTCGTTTTTACCATCGCACCGCCCGCCACCGGAGTAGAGTTCATCCATACTACCTGGAGCCACTGCGTTCATCCACAGTGCGTTTCCAGAGGTCTTTTTTGCCACGTACCCTCTGCTTTGGAATGAGCTCCCCTCCACGGTGTTCCCCGAGCGCTATGACATGTCCTTCTTCAAATGAGGCTTGTGGAGAGTACTTAACGGTAGGCAGCGGCTTGGCTCTGCCACTGACATTGCTGACGTCCACGGGCGACGATAACTACTCACCATCAAATGGACCGTTTTGTGTGTCCACTTAAAATGACAATATAATATCCATATTTTGTAGGCGGTACATTAAGCCAGACGTGGCTTTCTTTTTGTGATATTAATTGGGTTCGAACATCGCTTATGACCAGGTGAGGTAAGTGAGGACTATAGCACTAAAAAGATGATGGCTGACACGATCGATACGAAGGGTTGATCGCTTTATGGCTTTGATATTGATTTAGACGAGAGCTTTATCGATATCATCGCGAAATTACAGTTTTTTCTTGCACTACTTTCAACTAACTTGAATATTACTAGGTCGATAGTTAACGGTTCACCTGATGTTAAGTAATAAACAGAGCCCATTCATCCATCATCTATCCCCAAATCACAAAGAGAATGCTATTGGGCCTTGATGTAGATCGAAGTATTGATTGGATTTTCTAAAGGTTATTCCGACCTGCAAAAGCGTGACTGCATCGCAACGTTAATAAGCAGCAGGTTTATTGTACCTACCCGTGACGTCACAACACCTCCCAGCACCATCATGTGATAAGTCAATCGTTTTTGAAGGTCACTGACCCCGTCTGACCTATTCAGAAAATACATTCTAAGCGCCCACGATCTGTCTAGAGCAGAATCAGTAAGAAGTCTCAGATGAAATCGGGCCTATTGAAACATAAATATCTAGAGAAAATCTACATGTTTTTAAGTTCTGATAGCCAATTAGTGTCAGGTGGGTGGTCTAGAGCAATAATAAGGTCAATATAGGTTTGCAATTCCTCGTTTTTCATTGCTTTGACCGCAGTAGCGGGGTCCGTGTCCGGCGGAGATGGGACGGTCGAGTAAAAATTGTCTGCTTAGTCCGAGTTTATTAACGTTCTCGATAGCGTAAAAGTTAACTTGTATACAGTATGAACAGCGCCCCTAGCGGCAAACGTAGGTAAACTTTCCAACTCCACAAAAATTGGAGTAAACTTTTACGCTACCGAGAACTTTAAGAGACTCGCACTAAGCACACTGGTCTGCTTGAGTAACAAATCGTCCTGGAAAACGTTGGTAATACTAGTGTCTCACAATTTTTTTCTACCCACATTGTCATGAAACTGTTTCCAATTGTGCGCAATTACTCCCAATGAAACAAAGGCTTCCTCTTGGCTAGATGCTATTACTGGTGGTAAGACCTCTTGTAAGTCTGCACGGGTAGGTGCCACCACCCTGCCTATTTCTGCCGTGAAGCAGTAATGCGCTTCGGTTTGAAGGGTGGGGCAGCCGTTATAACTAACTATATTGAGACCTTAGAACTTATATCTCAAGGCGGGTGGCGCATTTACGTTGTAGATGTATATGGGCTCCAGTAACCACTTAACACCAGGTGGGCTGTGAGCTCGTCCACCCATCCAAGCAATAAATAAAAAAACCTGCACATACTTCAGTTTATACGTTGGTCGTGAATATACCGTCAAGAGCACGTAAGTCCTTGAACGGGAGGTCACAAGCGGGGTCACAGACTGATCGAACTCAGTGCGAGTACGTATCAATGCTGCATTATATTTATCGGAACGCGGGAATGTCAAGGATTTGTTGAACCTTGGCTGTTGGTGGAATCACAAACAATTTTTTTTTTGTAACCTTCCCGGCCTCATACTAGGTTTCCATAAGTTATGAGTACTCATAAACTGATATATATGCTAATATACGTTTAAATATATATTGTTACGCCGGTAAGAGTAACGCCATCTATCGCAGAATAGTCGAACGAATATTGAAGGATCTAGTAGCACCTAGAACGCTCGATAAGTACAACGCCATCTATTGTCAGATAGCGGAAACAATACTAGAGATGTGTGGAATATTCTCGATAATTCTAGGGATATGGTATCGACTATAAAAGCGACGCAGGGATGGCACGCAGTCAGTTAGTAATCGGAACCACTCGAAGCGAAACAGCGAACGGATCACCTGAAGCGAAGCGGAAGAAGTGAATTGAGAGTTTTAAAGTGTTTGTTGAGTGTTTTAAGCGTTCTAAGTATTGGATACAGTTTTTAAGTTGTACTCCGGTAGAATTTTATTTATCCCGAGCCTAAAGTGCGAACAAATCTGTTCATCGCACGAATGTTCGCCCGATGTGATAATCGAACCCACGACCCTCGGCGCGAAAATTAGGGCTTCTAGCTACTGCACCATCGAGTCAGTCGCACTGTTAGGTGCGCATTTGAAATTTTAACCCAATTCAATGACATTGTTATTGATATGTAACAGAGTAGACCGCGTCAACGATCGATGGAAACGAGCAGAGATGCGGGAAGGTTGTGAAAAACATACCCTAAAAATTTTAACTCCAAAGAATTCAATGCAAGCAATTCTTCAATTCTTCTTCCTAGTCGTACACTCTTAATAGAGTGGTTGTGGTCAGGTATCAGTCGAATCCAGCGATACCGATGCATTCGCGATGCGACGCCACGTGACACGATGTTTCGCAGAGTGAGAGCAATCATTTATGTTGGAGTCAGTCAAACATTTTACTGGTTGTAGGGCCTCCTGTGAGTCCGCACAGGTAGGTACCACCACCCCGCTTATTTCTGCCTTGAAGCAGCACTGCGTTTCGGTTTGAAGGGCGGGGCAGCCGTTGTAACTATACTGAGACCTTAGAACTTATATCTCAAGGGGGGTGGCGCATTTGCGTTGTAGATGCCTATGGGTTTCAGTAACCACTTAACATCAGGTTGACTGTGAGCTCGTCCACCCATCTAAGCAATAAATAAAAAAAAAGATTTTATGAGAGCGGTCCATCGTGTTGGAGATCGTCCGCAAGATCCCTTGCCCTCGACTTTCCCTTGCACGCTCAATAGAGTCCTCATTACGAGTGATGTG